GAATTCTAATTGTAATTGCCTAATGGGCCTTCTATTTCTAGTAGAAGTCTAGAAGACTAGTAGGAATTAGGAAACTACTCAAACTWGGAAGTAGGAACTACCAAACTAGTAGAAGAAAGACTAGTTCAGTTCGGGTCGGATCAGTTTCGGTTTTCTTATGTGAAAACTAAAACCGACCCGAGATATCGGTTTTTGTATGTGCCTAACCCGAAACCGACCAGTACGAATGAAAACCCGGCCGACTCGGGTTGGTCGGTTTGGTCGAGTTGGGTATTCTTATGAACAGCCCTAATTATTGATGAAAAAATTCAACTGATGGAAAGGTTTACATCGAAGTAAACTTTACACTGAAAACAAATGTGTAAAATTAAGGACCGGGTATGAAATTTTACACTGATTTGTCTATATTTACACTAGAAACAATCGCATGCAAATGCAAACTGGTGATAGAGTTTTACAACAATTCTCATTTACACCGAAAACAAAACCTCTATATGCCTTGTGAAAAGAAAACTTAATACGTCTTTTATCCATCCAGCTGCTAAAATATATTCCTAAAATGACTTCCTAAACAGCACCTATGTAAAACTAAATAACTTTTAAACTATCTGATTAATGCAATACTGATGTTTGGATCCAACTAGTTATCTAGATAAACTGGATTATCCATACATATAACCGGATCAAACTTTAATCGAAGAACCTTTTAGGCAGTATTTGATTTGAAAGCAAATCAAACCCTTTCCCTCTCTTTTCTTCCAAACCAAATGCAACCTTATATTCATAAAGACCCGAAGTCTCGAAATTAGTTTTGAGAACCAAAAGTAAATTGGTTTTATATTAAAAGACAACTCTTGTTTTTGAAACCATCAGAATTATGGTTTTGTAGCATAAAACAAATAAAATGTTGGACTACACATGATTTATGAAAGATGATGAGATATGCTGTATGTGTATGATTTAAAACAAAAAAAAAAAAAAAAACCATATTTTTCAAATGTGAATTGTTTCACTTGCTATGAGTTTCAAAACAAATTAAAACCATCTGGCTTTAACATAAATGTCTTCTAAAACAAAAATGCGGATAGCATGTTCTTTATTGTAAACAAGTTTTTGGTTTCTAAAACTGAAACAAAAAATGTGCTTAATAACATGTTTTTGCTTCTCAAAACAAAATACATAGCTTAAGAGCATGCAATCAATCAAGGGATCCGTTTGTCCAAGCTGACAGAGAATACTAGCTATGATCTCAAAATGATTAAAATATTATATATTATTAATAACATGAATTAAAAATAAATTTAATATTGCATATCATGAACCAAATAAATTGAAATTTAACTTGTTTGAAATTTGGACATATAATTTTTAGTAAAATTGTGACATCCAAACCAAATTTATATATTTAAGTTGAACCAAATTGGATAATATTGGAATGGATAGGAGTAGATCCATATTCAATCCAATGATCCACGAATCTAATATGGATCACCCTTATACAGGTTCGTTTGGATTTGAACAAATGGATACCATTTTGTAGCCCTATGAAAGACCAATAATACTTAAAAGAGCATGATAGGAGCAGAGTGAAGCATAGAACGCTACATGTGAAGTAAACAAGGAAGCTTAATCCCTCGTTCCCCCTCCCACAAGGAGTTTGAAAGGAGATCAAGCATTACTCCAACTCCCATGCTCAAAACAATTCACACCAAGTATATGTTTGGCATTGATGTTGCAGATACAACACCGTTTTCTGCTGATGTGTAGGTTGGAAACACCATTTTCTGAGAAAATAATGTCTTTTTTTTATTTTCTGTTTGGAAATGTTGCTGCTAAGTAGGATGTTTCCTGGAGCAACAACAACATTTTCTGTTTGGTACTAGTGCTCCATGTCTGTTTTCAGCACTAGTACCCATTATAGAAAGTCCAAGTCACTCCTACATCACGTCCTCATTGGCAGCAACGTGCTGCAATCCGAGAAAACGCTAAATCCAGCATTGCTCCAAACCACGCCTTCTTGATTTTCAAGACATGGCTTGGAGCATCGTTTTTTTTTTGGAAAAACAGTTCCAAACAAATAGGCGTTTCTTAGAGCACCGTTTTTTTCTGACATGATGTTGATGTGTCACCGTTTCCTAGAGCAATGGCATCGATGCCAAACAGATGCCAAAAAAAAGACTCACCCATTGAGCTATAAAACATCACTAGTTAAAGTACATAAAAGTTTTATTTAGCATTGACTTTAGAAAAACTTCTTCATTAGGTTCCACTTGGGACAAGTGTAAATGGAGTGAAAATACAAGGGATAAGTAGACTGTACTCCCCCCTCAGAAATCTAAAATTGTAGCCTCACTAGTAGCCCTCCTATAAACCGCATCCTGCCTATGGATTTGGCATCAATTCATAGTCAGGATTCATTCCACCCCAAAATACAAATATATAGACCGTATGCTGGTCCATGTAAATGCAAAGTTGGTTTAATTCTGCATTGATAAATATACTTTTTTGCCAAACATGAATCTTGAGATTTAAATATGCATTGAAACATTGATCAACTTTGGAGTGCAAAGTTGGTATCTATTTTTTGGATGCCCGAAAATTTTTGTAAGTTGTTACTTTCAATACATAAATGCATTCTTACCAAATGCCAACAAAACTGAACCAGAGCGCATATATGCATTGAACCAGCATCTGCACTCTTCCCAAACAAAGCCTTAAAAGAGAAAGAAAGTAATACAACCAGACATGAGAATTAAAGGGAAAAAACAAGCTAAAAAAACAATAGCACATGAGAGGCCTGTTTAACACATTGGGTGACTAATACCATATCAAAACATATTAAGATCACATATCTAGAGACCTTGTCCATTTGGTAGGAATCAAGTCATTGAATATGATTTTTCTTGCAGAAAGTCGGGCCCCGTTTGATTCACAGGAATAGGGATCTGGAATCATAATCAGAATTGGCTATTTCGATTCCAACTGTTTGGTTGGGCGGAATCAGAATCCCATTCCCATTCCTGCTAGAATGGCATTGCCCCATTTGAGAAAATGGTCATTCCCTGCCCCTCCCTTGGGAATGAAATCCCACTCCTGTTGATTCCTATTCCTATCTGAACCAAGCAAACTATGGGAATAGGCCATTCCGATTCCGATTCCGACTTTGAACCAAACGAACCCTTAGATCTCTTAGTTCCTCTTTTAAGAATTGATGATTAGCAACTTGTAAGATCAGTGTCTTCCAATTTGGACATGCCATTCTCACTGTTTTTTAGGCTTATGCTTCTCTTCAAGGTTCAAAATATTATAAAGTACTAATGCATATTGTGCAATACGTATCAGTTTTCAAAGCCATTGATACATTAGAGTTACGCATATTTAATAGATTCAAATGTTAGGTCGTTCCGATTCCAACTATTTGGTTGGGTAGAATCAGAATCCCATTCTACTGGAATGGCATTCCCCCATTTGAGGGAATGCCCATTCCCTCCCCCTCCCTTGGGAATGAAATCCCATTCTAGTTTATTCCAATTCCGATTTCAATTCTTGTTTGAACCAAATAGACTATGGGGATAAACCATTCCAACTTCGATTCCAAGATATTTTAATTCCGATTCCAACTATAAACAAAATGGAACCTTAGGCCATGTTTGGTTCCACTCTCATTCTTACCTAAGATGAAATTCTAAAATGAACAAGAATAAGTAAAATTGGGCAGAATGAAAAAATATTGCTATAAACCAATCTCTTTTTTCCCCAAAAAAATTATTTTCTTTACAAGTGCCCTATCTATATTGCTCATTTTCATTCTTCAAAAAAATTTCATGCCGGTGGTCATAAACTGTCAGCCTAGGTCTCTAAAATCATCGACATAAATGTTTACTGGATGGAAGATAATCAAAGTGATTAAACGCATGATGCCCTAATTTTTTAGTATTAAGCGAACCAATACTTTAAACCATGTTTCTCTCTAATAATTCAAGCTATCTACACACCTTAACTTGATGGTGCTATACTGCTATTTTACTTTTAGTATCAAGATCATGTCAATCTAGTAGGCATTATGAGATGTGGATTATTTTTGGAGACATCCAATAAGATATGGGGCATTTTAATAAGTAGAATGCAGCTTAAGAGGTCCAATAATACAATTGCCCACCATGGTTTTTAAAAACGAACCGGTGACCTAACCAGTCAAGGGTTCGGTTACTGGTTCAAATGGTCCGACCGTTTGATTCGAACGATTGGCCCATTTTGACAAAAAAATAAAAAAAAAATTAAAAAATTAGAAAACGATCAAAACCTTTCGAACGATTAATCAGTCGGTTCAGTGGTTTATTGACCAAAATCAATGGTTTTGGGGGAAAACAGAATCGATCAGGTGACCAGTTCCCAGTTTTTCCGGTCCGACCGTCCGGTCTGGTCCGATTTTGAAAACCATGTTGGCTACTGAGGGATGAGTGGATGACTAGGGGTGTCTATTCAATTGATTCATTTCAGTTTTAAATCGATTAATTTGATTAATTATAATATACATGTATGTTATATTTATATTAACATTTATTATTAAAATGTATCAATATTTATAATTAAAATATAAATGTATATATTTGTTTCGATTAATTTGGTTTTTGGTTCAGTTCGATTAAAAACTTTCCCAAACTGAATGGTTCGATTTGGCTTTTTGGTTTGGTAACCAAATTTGAACACCCCTATTGATGATTACGGTTATTAACTTATTATATTCCCCTGTTGGTTCTTAGTTAATATTTTGAACTGTAACATTGGATGTAATGAACCCTATCCAGTTCGTAACTTCAGCTTATTCTTAATGAATTTCATTTTCTATCAAACAAAACTAGTTCTACTCTCCTTAGGCTCTGTATGTTTGCAGCAAAAACCTGAACCAGTTGCAAATTTTGTACCCATTTCACATTTGTATCCATTTGTTTGTAACGATGATTTACATTTTTCTCGGATGCAGACTTTGCACTTCTTGTCTCACTTGCATTTAATGATAGTATAAATTTTGCATCTCAAAAACTGATGCAAAATTTGTGCCACCTTCCTCATGCCTTGCTTTGCTCTCACACAAGGGAGTCTGGATCTGGTCCCAACAACCGGTCACAACGGCCACTGCAGCCGTGCATTGGAAATATCTGAAATGAAAGACGAGATATTCTCAATACACACAATGGCTGTTGTGACCAGTTGTTGGGGCCCTGTAATTGGGACCTGGTCCGAACTCCATATAAAGTAGGAACTAGACAATTTTATTACCTATCTTGCTCCTCCCAAACAAACAACATTGGGCCTTCTTTCGTCATCTTACATACAAGGATACATGTACCCGCCAAATACTGCAGTTGTGGGCATGTTTTATGACAGGAAAACAATCCACCTAATGATGTCCAGGACTGAAAATGAGACATTTGTAGTTTGTAGTAGGATGGCGTTTCTTTGAAGATCTCAATTTGCTATGTCGCATTGAACTCGATGCTAGCTGGAATAGTTCAACTGTTCAAGTGTACATTGCTGGAGATCCTCTTCCCCTGAGAAACCTCTACTGGAGTGAACTATTCCAGCTAGCATCCTACTCCTACTCCTACAAACTGAGATTTTAGGCAATGTACACTTGAATTACATATGTACAACTGTTCAAGTGTAATTAGGCAGAATTACAAACCACCACTATGCTTCACACTTATTGACTCCCAACTGCTTTCTGTACTGCACTTTCGGATTCTAGATCAAAATCTTAAAATCCCATCGTCATCATCCAAGCCTTATCCCAAAGATAGTTGAGAGTCTTAAGAAACACATGATCATGGTTAGAGAGGGCACCATCTAGATTTTGGTGAGAGAGAGAGAGAGAGAGATGACATGAGAAAACTTTTATCCTTGCTCTAACAGCATGTGAATAAGTGACAAGTGTTGTATAAATAATTCTCTTCCCTTGATGAAGAAACTGATCTCCTTGCACATGGTGTTCAGCTACATTCAAACACATATAGATGAAGGAAAAAACTTATAGAGCTTGTTAGATTTTACGCTATACCACCGCAATCCTGGTTGACTTGAGTTAACATAAGCTCCTTGCCACTCGTGCTAAGATATGGTGGTGAATGTAATGCCTCTAGACATATCCATCAATTCAGAACTTTTAATGCCATTCATAAACAAATCGGTTGTTCTCTTCCTGTAACAATGCTTAACAGTTAACAAGCCGTTGGAATAAAGGTTTCTCTATAATTGTACCCTCTAGGGGTAGGGGCCAAGTGGCCAACAGAAAGTAATATAGGTCACAATCTGATTAAATATTCCTAGGATGCACATCTCATCCCATCAGCATGCCACTGCATTTGCAGCAGTCTCCAAAATTCTCCTTGCCTCTGTCTCCGGATCAGCAAGTTCACTTGGAATCTGCAAAATTTGGAAATTAGCAGGAAAAATATCAACAATGATAAAAGAAGCAAAAGATTTTCAGATGCCTACCTTGCCATAGATGTTTGCTTTTGTAGGAGAAGCCCCAAAAGTCAACAACAAGCGTATAACATTTGCATGTTCACCTCTTGCCGCATGATGAAGAGGCTACACATATAATAAATCAACAATTCTCATCAAGAATAGTAAGAGAAGTCATATAAAGACATGTTTCAGGGCCACTCACAGTGTCTCCTTCCACATCAACTGTGTCTAGCATTCTTTTCACAGAGTCTGGGTTGTTAGCACTGCTAATTAAAAGTTGGACAATTTCAATAAATCCTGCAGAACCATCAGTAAAAAGAAATAAAATTAAGAAAAAGAAGTTATTATCACAAGGAAAGAGAGGCTTGATAGTTGCAGTGGCAATAAAGTAGCTCCTATGACCTACCCCCTGCACAAGCATCATGAAGAGGAATTGCTCCATCCTCATCCTTGGCTTCCATACTAGCTCCCCTTTCCAGCAGTAGCTACAACAAAAAAAGATGTCCTTGTTATCAATTTATTATCCAGGAAACAACATAGACTGAATTTATTTGTTCTTCTTTTCTTTTATTGGTTGTGAAGGGGAGGAGCATCCAAGATGGACACTAGAGAACAACCTGGACACAAGGCAGGTAACCATAAAGGCAGGTTAAATGGAGGGCAGTGTCTCCATCTTCCACGGGTTCATCAATGCTTCCACTGAAGTTATCTGCATCAACATACCAAAAGAGGAAAGCATTAGCAGAATGTAGTTAAGAACTTCAACACATCACTCTTTTATATCCACTATCACTTTATGCATTGTTTTATTTATTTATTTATTTGAAAAAGGTAAAGTAAATTTTAATGATGAGAAATATAGTCATGCAAAGAGGGAAGAAACATAAGTCAGCTCCCCCTCAAAAAGAAATCAGAGATCCCATACACTGACTGACTTAAGATCAGCAAAACATTCTGATTACAGAACTCAGGAAGGACTGACTTATACATTGTTTTATAATTTGCTTCAATTAGTAGGCCAAGAAAGAGTTTTCCAAGAAAAAAATCAGTATGACTTGGAATTAAACTACTAATGTTATTTTTATACGTTACTTGATGAATTATTTATTATATCTATGCAAGGCTAATCAACAAAGACTCAGATATAATCTGTATTGCCCTCCAGTAATGTTTGCAAGGAGATTCTGAGAGCCAGAGACTTTATTTTATTTTATACAGCACTCATTACAGACAATATTACAAGCTTTTTCTTCTGTGATTGGCAACAAAAAATGGCAAAGTTTAATGTGTTTATTGCCAATGAGACTGATCCTTTAGCTCAAGTCAATCTAAGTCACCACATCATCAGAATTCTGAAATTATGAACCAGTGTTTTGAGAACAAAATATCTTGCTCTTCTCTTTCAAATAACAGAAATTTATTCTATCTAGAAGTTGCAATTCTTGTGAAAATATTGTTTAGAAGTTGTGGAGAAGATTTTCCATTAGCATGCTTAAAACTACTTAGAAGTAGATCTTCTGAATTGTGAGATGGATGGGGGATATACTATAACAACAAACAAGAAGTTGATTGGCATCTAATAGGTCATTATGTATTACAGAAAATTTTGTTCACCAAGGGCACCTAGACCTAGGTGACACCTTGACAACTATGTAGTAAATTATGCATTCAGCATCAAATTCAAGGTTAATTCATCAAAACATAGCAACAAGCCAGAGATAAGCTGCACAAGTGTCCAAGCAAGGCATACCTCACAAAAATAAGCCTTGCTTATGAGCCTACGCACACCCAATGCACACCCTTTAATAGACTGATTCTAGCTCTTGAAGTGTTGGGCAGACAAGAAAAGGATGTCACCCATAGAATCAGAGCAGGATGGGCAAAATGGAGGGGTGCATCCAGATTCTTATGTGATAGGTGCACTTAGATTAAAAGGAAACTTTATAAGACAATTGTAAGGCCATCTATGATGTATGCAGTAAAGTGCTGGGCAGTCAAGGAACAACATGTTCAAAACACGAGTGCAGCACAAATGTGTATGCTGAGTTGGATGGGTAGAAAAACTAGAAAGGACAGGGTCTGAAATGAAATCATTTAAAGGAACCTAGGAGTAGCTCCAATTGGTTATAAAATGAGAGAAGTAGACTAATATGGTTGGGTCACATGCAGAGAAGACCATTGACAACACTGTAAGAAGAAGCAATCTTTTCAAGTTGAAGGGGCTAGAAGGGCTAGGGGTAGACTAAAAGGGATATGGGTCAAAGCAGTAAGGAATGATTTAAGCACTCATAAATTAACAATTGATATGACATTAAACAGAATGGAATGGTGAAACAGGATTATATAGCTAACCCCATATAATTGGGATTAAACCTGTTCATGGGTCGGGCTCAGGCTTGGCTTTTGCCAAAATTTGAATGGGCCTGGCCCAAAGCCCGAGCCTGAAACAGTGTAAGGCCATGCCCAAAGCCCGGCCCGTGAACAGGTCTAGTTGGGATAAGGCTTATGATGAAAGTCATAGTCATGCTACTAATAGATATAAAGACAGAATAGTAACAGCAATTAAAGCCATGCTAGAAATAGAGAAAGTTATACTCAAAGATATAAAGGCAGAACAGTAACAGCCATTAAAACCATCCTAATAATAGAGATAGTTCTAGTCATGCCACCTAAAATAGAGACTTGACAGGGATATGGTTTGATTCCTTTTTAAAGCATGTGCTTTAACAGCCAATATAGACCTGATAGAGTTGTTGGTGAAACATGATAAATTCCATCTACCCCTGCTAAATTAGGGCTGAAAACAGATTGAGTCAAACCGGATATACCTAGATCCAAATTTGAATCATTAACATTAACATGAACGTTGAATCCCTTCCATCAAGTTCAAATCAGATTCAAATTTTGAAGATGATGGCTTTGATAGTGCTGAGTTCATCTAGCATCCACTTGCAAATTACAATTTGAGTTACCTTCATTTCTTTTTTCTTATTTCATTATGTTTTTTAAGTATATATTATGCATGATAATGTACCAAACTCCCTGCATATTTTATGGTCCTTTAGCACAATTTTAAAGACAAAGACTTCCCATTGCAAATGTAAATCAGAAAAAGAAAGAGAGCATGACTTAAGGGATCAATTACTTACTACAGATGAAGTAAAAGGGAGCTGTGCTTTCTGCTTTTCATTCGTTTTCTTGTTTCTCACTACTCAAAATGTGACAAAGATCACTATGGCATACTATTACTTCCTCATACAATTCGTTTCATCTCAGGAAAGCAAGATGTATAGATCAGAGAAGTTTCCTTCTAATCCACAGTTCATACTATCATTACTTCTAAGACCCTAACCAAAAAAAAAAAATAATAATAATAATAATAATAAAATCTTGGCCGCACCCACCAAACTCTAACAAGCAAGTGATTTAATGAACTGAATTGAATTCCAACAACCTAAACATCGTTCTAGCTAATCCTACTAACTTAGGCAATGAAATAGGGAGCTGATAAACCCTAGTTGAAAAAAATTTACCCGATGCATGTTGCTTTCCAAGTTCATTTACCAACAATACATCGTTCGAGAAAAAAAATCTAGAAAAATTGAAGAATTCAATAAAAGGGTGGGTAAGAGCGAGTACCAAGAGCCCGGCTGAGTGCATCAACGTTTCCGAGCTGGGCTGCTTCGGCGAGGGAGCGAAGGTGAGGCGGGGTGTCGGCCTCTGGCTCCAATAGACCTTCTTCCTCAAAGAGACCCTCTTCGTTGTCGTCGTCGTCATTCATCCCATTGCGCCTACCTGGAACCGCCATTGCTTCTCCGGCGACCGACAAAATCGAGAGGGTGTTGTAGTTAGCAACTGGTGCGATGAGTTCTCCCTCTCGGCCTCTCGGTAACGCCAGCCGCTTATCGCTATTCGCTACTCACCACGCGGGTTTCTCAACTTGTTGAGAACAACAGAACAAGGAAGAAGTAATTAGGGATACAAGTTGGGCCGAGTGGGCCGAGCTGAGATCGATCCAAGGAACCCTATCAATACACATTAGTGCGAGCCCATCCTAGGTCCTAACGTTTTAGCCCAACCCATATGGCTACAACCCAGCCCAATTAATAATGTATAGGTTCGGGGCCTTCGGGCCCAAAAGACGATTTTTTTTTTTAATATAGTAACAATGAGAAACTACACAAGCCTGGTAGCTCTTCCCCTCGAATCAGCAAGGCAAATGAGATTTAAATCACTATGAAAATAACCAGAATTCACCACATGGTCAGGAAGCGCATTACGAGCCAATCAGTCAGCAGCTTGATTTACCCCACCAAACGCGTTCCTGAAGCGGATATTCTGGTTGAACATGGCAGGGAAGTTGGAGTCCGGAATTGGGAATTGGGCAGGATGAGATATTCTCTATGTATGGCTCCGATAAACGTGAATAGAGTTTTCATGGACAGATCCGGACTCGGGAAGTTGAGACATTCTATAATGATGCATTCCAATCTTGATGGGGGTTCACTCTTCTTTTAAGACAATCGATGGCAGGCTTTGAATCTCCTTTTAAAATGATTTGTCGCTCCCTGAAGTTAGTAGCAACGTTGATTGCTTCCCATGCCTCTGCAAGATTAATTATTGTATACACAATGTTATACGCTTTGGTCACAAGGGCATCCCCCTAATGACTCCTTGCGATACATCTAATTGAACACATGCATTCATTCCTACAGGAAGAATCAAAGATGCAACCAAGCTTAGGACTAAACCACTCAATAAGATTCCAGACTTTGTTATTGGAAAGATTTTCATTTAGACCATTATCCTTGATTTCTGTCCAATAATCACTAGTTCTTTCAATAATATATTGAGGATCACTCGATTTGTCATTGAAATATTTATTATTTCTATTTTTCCAAATGAATGAATTATAGGGTACAAATTAACCTCTCACAATAAAATTGATCATTAGAGGAGACCTTATTATAAAAAATTCTAACCCACCACTGAACACTTGAAGCACCATTGGTCGAAGGCACTAGGAGTCTCAGGTTCATGAGACTCCAAACTTGTTTAGAAAGATCACACTTAATGAAAATGTGGTCTATGTTTTCATCCTCACCACAAAGAGAATAGGCAGCAGGACGGGCTTATGTTAAGCACTCTTGTAATAAGATTATTCTTAGTGGACAACTTATCATTAAACAGTAAAAAGAGAAAAACTTTAATTTTGGGGGGATCTTAAAATTCCAGGAGTTTTTTGGGACACCATTCGACCTCAACTCACCCCCATTATATTTGTGTTCCTCATTGTAAGCAGATTTAATCGAAAAATTACCACTTGATGTAAATTTTCAAACAAAATTATCCACCATATTCATAGATGGGATCAAAATTGGTTTGATATGCTGCCAAATGTAAAGAGGAATAATAACCTTAATGAAGTCCTCCTTCCAAACTTTCCTGTTATGATCAATCACACTGCAAACCTTCGTATCAATATTTAGAGATAGAATTTGGATTCAAACCATCGATAATAGGAGAGTTTTTGGCCCAAATATCTTTCCAAAAATTGACCATCATTCCATCACCAATTCTCCAACTAGAGCACCTCTTAATATGGTCTCTAGACGCCAAGGTACCTCTCCATGCCCAAGAGATGCCCTTCTTAGGCTCAATATCCCAAAAATTATGTTTACTTAGATATTTACTACTAACCACCTTTACCAACAGGTCATCTTTGCAATTAATGACTTTCCAACCCAATTTTGCAATTAAAGCCTTATAAAGCCATTTAAGATTTCTCACACCCAAGCCACCCAAGGCTTTAGCCATGCAGACTCATTTCTAGTTAACAAAATGGATATGGGTTCTGGTTCCTTGAATTTGACCATAGAAAATCTCTTTAGGATTTTTCTAACCCATTTATGACATTATTAAGGATTTTGAACGACTGCATGACAAACTGGGGGACCATGGAAGTAGTAGAGTTAATAAGAGTAAGCTTGCCTACAAGGGAAAGTGAGTTTTTTTTCCACCCCACAAGTTTTCTACTCAATTTCTCACTAAGAGAGTCTTAAACACCCTACCATCAATAATGGGGGCACCAAGGTAGGAATTGCTTTTACTTCCAAGGGGAATCTTTAGAATTTTGGACATGATTTATTAGTGCCTAGGGGGAATATTTTTGAAGAAATTTATGGCAGACTTAGAATAATTAGGAAGCTGCTCAGAGGCTTTAGCAAACCTTTCTAGGATATCCTTAATCTTAAGACAGGCATTAATTGATGACTTCGCAAAAATTATGCAATCACCAACAAATTGGAGAATTGGAATGGTAGGACCTCCTTTGGAGGCTTTACATCCAATCAAATTATCACTTTCAGTTGATTCAACAATAAGCCTCCTCGTTAATGCCTCTGTACAAAGGGCAAAAATATAAGGGGAAAGTGGGTCCCCTTATGGAACTCTTTGGTAGGGATGCAAACTGATTGTATCGGATTGGAATTAGGGTATATCCAAATCTAATATGATACTGTATAGATCCGATCCGATCGGATCTCATAAATATTGACTTAAATTTAAATCCGATTAGGATGTTGGATATCTGAATATGATCCAATCCGATTTAATTTAAAAAAATAAATTATTAAAAGAAAAAAATATATAACAATTTAAATAAATAAAAATAAAAATATAATTACGTTTTAATTATTTTCATTATATATATACATTTTTTATAAAAAAATAAATAATATATAAATTTATAAAAATGCAATATAAATAATATATTTATAAAAAATAAATAAAATATATATTACATATAAATAAATATATAACAAATCTAGCAGATCAAATATTTTTGAATCAAATATGGGATGGTCTAAATCCAACAAAATAAGATCAAACTTTGGATCAGATTCATGATCCAATTCATTTGCACCCCTATTCTTTGGAAGCTTGGACACACACAGATACGATGGAACCATGAGAATACGCGTTACAACTCTTTGGAAGCTTTTATTTTTTACGCCCTCTTTGGAAGCTTAACTGAATGACTTATTATAGTTTGTATTTTAGTGGATATACTAATTAAATAATGAAATGTTCTGAGAGGTATATTAATGAGCCCAAGTGCCCAACTAAAGGGCTTCGGCCACTTAGGAGCCTACAAGGCCACAACCTCTTTTAAGAATGAGTTTGGTTGGCAGTGTGAATTTTATTTGAATTAGTGTAAATGTTGGGATTGTAAATAGTTTAGTATGAATTCTAGTTATTTTTTTTGTTTTTTTTTCATATTTGACTTTATTTTATTTATTTTTGAGAAGACAGGAAGTAAAATGATGTAATCCCTAGCAAGATGCTATGGTCCTCCTATGAGAAAGAACCAATGTAAGAGGAAGACGGTGGAAATTTTGCATCGGTGCGTTGCTATTAAATTTTAGGAAAAATTTCTGATTAGTACTCTGAACTTTCGGGGTTGTGTTATGTTAGTTTTCAAACTTTCAAATTCGTCTATACAGTACCTTGAACTTTTAGAATGTATCTAATAGGTTCCTACCGTTAACTGTCCGTCAATTAATTTGAAAAATGTCAAAATTACCCTTTGATGGAAAAACTGTTCATTCTTAAAACTGAAAAAAAAATGTCTAAACAATATCAATTAGGCATTGCCAGGCAATGAATCCCCTATTCAGTCAATCAATTAGGCACTCCCAAGTGACTTGGATTGAACTTATCAAGCTTGGGGGACTGCCAATCTGCCATCGAAGGGGTATAGCCGTCGCCAATGCCGGGAGTGCATTCTCGGTGGACGTCGCAGATTATGCTGTTGGGCTGTTGCTCGATGTCCTTAGAAGGATCTCGACTGCCGATAGCTATGCAAGTCGGGGGCTTTGGCCTGTCCAGGGAGAATTTCCTCTCGGTCACAAGGTCAGTCGGTCTTCTCCTTTCTCTCTTCTCACTATTTTCTTGATTTGATGTCTACCATCTCTATGCAATTTGGTGAAAATGTATCTTAATTCTATCATTCCACTAGGGCTGATTCACCTGTAACTCCCACTCCCAGTAGAGTAGTTTATTGTAAGATTGACTTATCTGCAGTTCCAATTAAAGTTCCAATCCTCTCCAGTTCTACTCCTAAGACTGGGATTAGGTTAATTCAGCCCAGTATTGTCTGGTTCCCGCAGGCAATAAGGCACGTGACTTCAACTATCTGATGACTAATTGGTGGCCGTTAAGACCTCCAAGTTTGGATGGACGTAGGTTGTTTAGTGTGGTGGGTAGGTGAGTGAGGGACTGGTCTGGTCTGTCTAAAATTTTCGTTTCTTACATTGAAAGAAAAAAAAGAGGATTTTTTTTCTTGGTAACCTCCATCTCAGTTGAACAATAGATCAATAAGTATAAACCAAAAGACAAGTTGGAAAGAGGAGAATGATGAATCTAGCAACCAAGTGTTCTTGGATGTTGGGGGTAGTTCAAATCGGAGTTGATATATGATATATACGTGCAGTCCCTCGAACACGACAAACAATTTACTGTATGCTGCTGGCACACTCGATGGTTCATGGTGATGGCGAATGCATCATACTGTGCAGTGGGAGAGTATCATCGCCCTCGTCAAAGTAACAACCAGTTCGGTTTCGAGATAGAAGACAGTGAAGAGTGTCTTCTTTCAAGGTAGAAAACAACAAATAATGGTAGTTTTGACATTTTAAAAGTTTTAAGTGATACATGCCATTACGTGATACAGATTGTTAACGGTAAGGACCTATTAGATACATTCTAAAAGTTTAGAGTATTGCATAGACACATTTGAAAGTTTGAGGACTAACTAGACACAACCCCCAATGTTTAAGGTACTGATCAGGAATTTTTCCTAAATTTAATAAGACAAAAAGTACAAATTTTATATCAGGTAGAAGTAATGTTTTTGAACTGTTGTTGACTCGGATGGTTGGACCATCCAGG